GGGCGAGGTCCCGCCCCCTACCCCCGCAGAGCGCGGCTCTGCAGCCAGGGCAGGGCCAGGGTTGCCCCTAACTCTGCGGCAGCGCGTCTGGGCTCCTCGTTCTTCTCCTCCCTACCGTTGGGGTGACATTTTCCCGCCGAGTGACTTTGGCCAAGTCCTGCTTCCCAGGACTCATTTTGCCTCCAGTATAAGAGTTCACGGGCCCCTCCCCGTGTAGAATTGGGGAAACAATTCTGGCAGAGCAGGGGCCAATGCAGCCATCCTCAATAGTACAAGCTGCTCTAACTTCGATTAGTTGCCCCCTGCTGTGAAATGAGGGCTGATCAGACAGTTGTTACAACGATGTCAGCACCAAAAGGCCTCTCGGGACTTCCAGATCTGGTCCAGGCCCTTGCCCAAAACCCCATGACGGACCCCCACAGAGCTCAGTTGGGGCCTGCCAAATGGACCTGCACTGATCCACTTGTCTTGGGTTCTCCCCATCAAGATACAGAGGCCCCCCACTCTCTGATAGGTGTCAGAGCAGATCAAATGGGGGTGGGGAGGTGCTCAATTGTTAGGTGACCCTGGGTGAAAGCTCTTGAGGCCAAACTAGCTTCAGACACCCTCTCTTCCATGCCTTTGATCCACTGGGAAGTGGTGGGTGGGGAGTGGTATCAGAGGGTCTGGTTTAATCAGAGCTTCTCCAAACCAGGGTGCACTCCAGCCTAGCGTGAAGGTACAGCCACACCCTGGGGAGTCTGGGTGTCCTGGATGGAAACACAGACACAGAAGGCTGGTTTGGGCTGGGGCTCTCCTGGGTCATACCCTACAAAGGCAAGCCAATGACTCTTATATCATGAATAAGGGCACTAGGCTCTGAGATGAATAACAGCAAGGGCAAGCCCAAGGAGGTCCATGGGTCTGGCAAGAGAGAAGGGCAGGGCCTGGGCTTCCTGCCCCCTCCCGCTTCTCCCTAGACCCCACTCAGAAAACCCAGCCAGTCCCCCAGGGGCCACTCTTCTTCCTGGACATGTCATGTACATAGGCCATGCAGCCAGCATACTCAAGCACTCTGGGTATCCACTGCATGTGGATCTGAGCCTCAGTTTTCCCACCTGCACAGGGATGAGTTGCCCTGACCACTGGCCCCTGTATCCTCCATCCATGGCAACCTCACATGGAGCCACCTGGGATAGGAGCAGCAGCAGGAGGAACTGGACCACTCCCCTGAGGAACTTACATTTGAGCTGCTTCGGCCTTCTCCCAAATTTCACCAGCTGCTAGTGCCCCAGCCACATACCTACCTTGGCCTAACCCAGGGCTGGCAAGGTTACTAAAGGTGTTCTCCCATGAGGAGAGGCCAGTAAGGGCTGGTGAGGGCTGGTGAGGGCCAGCCCTGCTCCAGCCAGCTGTTTGGTGGGGTGGAGCTCTTCCTGCTGGAGGATTAAGGGCAGGTGGCCATGACAGTGGCACAATCTGGGGAGCATGGCAGTAGCCCTTAGCCTCTCAACCCCTGAGCCCCAGCTACCTGTCCTGCCACTGGCCCTGAGCTTCACAGATTCCAGCTTTGACCCTGAAGACCAGCTCCAGGAAGCCCTGGGCTCAGCAGGTAGGTCACTGGGCATCTCTTGCTGAGACAAATCTGGGAAGCAGTTTTGGCATCAAGGCTGCCAGGCCTAGCCAGCGGATATGGCCCCACCTCCCCCAATGTCCCCATCAGCCCTGCCAGTCCAGCCACAGCCCTGGGAACACATGCTCTCTCCGATCTCACCCTGAGAAAACCATCTCCTCCCAAGAGACAGAAAACCAAAGGCTGGCTGGGAGGGCAGTGGGTGGGGAGGGGTTGGGAGGGGTGGTGGCCTGAGGTCTTTAGTTCACAGCCCCAAGGAAGCCAGGGCAGCTCCAGGCTATGGGAACATCTTTCTTGGGGGCATCAACCCTCTGGGCTGGAGGCTAAAGACCTTTCCGGCCTAGGAGGACTAGATAGAGAGCCTGGCGCCTGAAGGATGGCCTCAAGGTCACTGACTGCCACTGTCCCCATGTGCCCCAGCTGGGCTGCTCTGCTCCCCAACCACATCTGGGGGTACAGGCCTCACCCTTTGGAGTGCCTGAGATCCAGGGGGTGGAAGGGGTGGCTCTTGCACCTAGCCCCATCCTGCCTCAGGCCTGGCTTCCTATGGACTGGCTCTGTGGCCCACCTCAGCACCAGGGGCTTGGAAAGACAGCTCCCCAATGGTGGGGGCTGCTGGTGGGTCTGGGCCCTCTGGAGACATGTCTGACTGTATGCCACGCTGAGCTGTGTATGTGGATTGCCCACAGACAAATGAGAACATCAAGGCTCTTGGGGTTAAGGTCACTCGCCAGGTCCCCCAACCTGACATAGGCTGTTGCTTCTGAGCCCTCCATGCCCTAGCTAGGCAAAGCTAGCCCAAATGGGTCAGTCTCAATCGAGACCAATACCTTGCTCCCTTTCTGTCCAGCCACAGAGGTCCAGGCTGCCCCAAGCTGCCAGCAGCCTATCTGGTTCCCTGGAGCTGGGGCCCAGTGACCAGAGCATGTACTGGGGGACACACTGTGAGGAGGTGTGGCTGCCAGCTTTTGGAAGGCAATGGTGCTATGCCTGCTCATGGAAGTGAGCCAGGGAAACTGAGAACACTACTGGCAGGATCCTCTAGGGTCATTCTGAGAAACCCTGAAGACTCAGTAGGCCATGACACCCCAGGCCTCTGGGACAGGTAATGAGAAGGGGCAACAGTGGAAGTCCTGTAGGGTGGACTCCTACCCAGGGAGCCACCAGGGACAGACAGCTCTGCCCTGCCTATCACCTGCTTTGTGCCTCAGTCAATAATATGAACTGAAAAGTAACAATACGAATTGAAAAATCACACCAAACTCCAGGTATCCCACATTTTCTCATTCTGCCCCTACCACTCCATAAGCCGGTGCTCTTCCTGCCCCATCTGCAGATCAGGCACTGGGATACAGTGGTGGAAGGAGGAGTCCTGGCCATCTGACTCCTGACTTTAAAGTTCTCAGGGCCTGGCCTCAGAGCAGACAAGGCTCCATGCATCTTGGGGCTGAGTTGGGGCCTGAGCCCAGTCTAAGGGCAATGGCTGGTGGGGAAATTGAGCATTCTAGGTCACCCTCTGAGCTGCAGTCAGAGCCTGGGGCCTTGCTCGAGCCTTACCCTAGGGCTGACTCACTGATGCATGTGACGAAGGAGAATACCATGGCAAGGAGACTCCAGGACTGGCAAAACCCTCAGGGTCACCAGGGTGACCACTGAGCTGCTCAGAACAGACCTTGCCCAGCTGCCTGGGCTCTGAGGACTCACTTGAGTGGAGGGTGCCATTCTGAGGATTGGGCTGTGTCCTGCCCATTCATCACTTGGTGTCCTACACACCCAAGTGAGACTTCCGGCCCCCCTTGGGGTCCCATTTTCCTCCCCTCCTCGGAAGTCCCAGGAAGTCTTGCAATAAATCATTCAGTTCAATGCTGGCTTGTGGTCCACCAAGGCCCCTTGATTGTTTCCCAACTTGGCCATTTTCACCCTTCCTGACTCACTGGGGTGTTACCTGCAGGACCAGCTGTTGCCAAGCCATCGGCAGGGGCTGCCCACTGCCCACACCACCACTGCCCACACCAGGCTGCTGGGCGCGCTCCAGCTGCAAGGCAACATGGCGCCTCTCCTGCTCCAGAGCTCGCGTCAGTCTCTCAAAGCGGGCCTCCTGCTCCTTCACTGAGGCCAGGATGCTGGCAGCTGAGTGCACGTTGCAGTCCTCCATGACCAGGATGCCAGCAGGCTGCAGGCAAAGCAGAGCATGGTCAAGGTGGGGCTGGGGTGGAGGCCTAGAGAGGCCATCATAGGCCCCCTGCCCACTGCACACATAGATCATAGGACTCACTCCCAGACCAGAGCATCCAGCTCTCCAGAGAGAAGCTGCATTGATTAAATTCTAAATTAAAAGCCGTTAATCCGAGATGGCCAGAAGCAGCAGGCTCCCTCCCTGCAGAGTGTAGGGCTTTCAGCTGGGAGCCCCTGCTTCCTGCCAGGTTCAGCAGAACCTGAGGTTCTGGGTATCCCAGAGTCCTCTGGGAAGGGAAGGGTAGGAAGAGCTGGTGTGACAACCTCTCAGACTTCCCAGGCCCTCTGCTGTCCATAGCACATGCCAGTTCATCCCAACCTCATGGGGCTAGCACAGACCCACCTCACTGAGGCAGATGCTCTGTGGCCCAAAGAAATTGGGAAACCCATCCACAGCCACACAGCTGGTGTGGCAGAGCTGCTGTACCAGCGGGCAGGGAGACAGAAGCCATTCCATGGCCTCCTGGTGGGTCAGATACTGAGGCAGGTGAGGAGATGACACTGGTCTACAGACCAGCAGTCGGGCCTCCACTCACAGCCACACTGGCTGGGAACGAGAGTGGCATTTACCCACATGGCAGAGTAAAATTCAAGTTTAGCCTGGTTGAGATTCTGCACCCAGAAGTGGCCCATGTGTCTCATGCCTGATCTGGAGGGAGGTTGAGGGCAGGGTCCCAGGCATCTGAGGCCCAGTCTGTGGGGAAGGTCAGGCCTGCCTGGGGCCCTGCCCACTGCTGTTCCTGAGGGCCCCAGGATGGTGGGTGGGGGTGGCAGGGACTTGGCAGCTGCAACAACAAGCCAGCACTTTCCTCGCTGCTTGCTCCCTGGCTGCCCAGCATATTTGTTTTTCATGAACAAAAAGAAGCAGGGGAAGCATGTGGAGCACAGACCCAGGGGCATGGCAACAGGCAGGGTGCAGGCCATGCAGCCATACCACTAGGCACTGTGGTGCAGTACCCAGTCCTGCTCGGGGTCTCCTCCTGGCCCGGCCCACCCCAACCAGTTGAAGCTGACTCTGCCAGCCCCTGTGCCCCTGCACAACATAGGGCCTGAGCTTAGAGACATGGCACAGTGGGTAGCACCCCTGGAGGGCCAGCTCTGCTGCTCACCGGCCCAGGTGGAGTCAGCTTTAAGAACAGAATCCTAGAAAGGAGGGGGGTCAGTGCTGGGCCTGATCACTGGTACCAGCTGAGCGAGGGACAGGGTTGGGGGGCACGGGTGTACCTCGAGGTGAAAAGACACCATAGAGCCCAACCCACTGTGAAGCTGGGGAAACCAAGGCCCATTGAAGGCAAGAGATCAACATAGGTCCCAGAAGCTGAGCTTCATTTCTCCAACACCTGTCACGCAAATAAAACCATCAGTGTGACCTAGCAGAGGGGCAGTGAAATCAGCATGGCCAGCTAGAAGAGGCAGTAGCTGGCAAGGGGGCAGGGGAGGAGCCTGGGGGGATGAGGGGAGTGAGTTATAGACTGGGTCCTCTGGCCAAGAGGGAATGGAGGACAAACAGCATGGTATGTCCATGGCTGTGGGCACACAGCCTTCTGTGCACATCCACTGCTGCCTAGGCACGGGTCCCAGACACACACGGCCCCATGCAGTGTCACGTAGGCACTAGGACTTGTGCATGGATAGACTGAACCTGGTAGCCCCAGGTGGGCATGGGTGGGGTCGTCCTCCCTGGAGGGCAGCACAAGGTGGGACAGGAGGTGGAGCCAGGTCACTCAAGCCCTTGGTTGCAGCATGGGTCTCAAGGCTCTGGGAGGTGATGATCAGGAAATCTATGGGCTTCATATCTAGGAGGTGACTTCCCTTCCTCCTTATGCCAAGACATGGGTTCCTGACTGACCTCAGGCTCCCCTTTCCTGCTCCCAGCAGGACCAGGCTAGGGCTACAGACCCTGGGGATAGCAGCTGAGGGGGCAACACTGGCCTCCAGCTTTCCTGCCCCGGCCCTCCAGCATATCCCAACTCTGAGGTCCAAGGAGTCTCTGCAAGGGGGATCTACTTACTTTGACTGCCCCCACCCACCCAGCTAGGACCCAGAAATCTAAGACTATGGTGAGAAGGTGGCCAAACCCACACTGACCTTTCCATTGCCCAGTTCTCTCAGCTGGAGCTAAATGACTGTGTGCCTCCCAGGAGACACCCCGAAATGCCAGCCAGCTTGGAGGAAGAGTGCCCTGCAGCCGTCCACAAAGAGCAGAGCCCCTGCTCTGGGGCCCATGCCCTCCACCCCAGCCCGAGGGTGTACCCCTCTGTCTGCCTGTGGGCAGGGATGCTGGGCATGGAGTCCCCTCCTCACCTGCCTTAAGTGTAGCCCTGGGGTATCCGAGAGGCATGGTGCTGGCGGGGGACATCCAGGAAGCAGGGAAGACCTAAGCCTACTTTTGTGACATGGTGGCCTTCCTGGGTCTGAGGTGCATGGCCTGTGCATAGGAGCACGTGTAGGTACAGGTGAGCCAGGCCAGCATCCCAGAGAGCAGCTTTTCGGATGGTAACTCAAATGCTATTTTTATATTAAAACAATAAATATGTGATGACATGGAAGCAAATTGTACATGAATTTTTAAGATCGACCATGAGACTGGGGCACCTGGGTGGCTCAGTCAGTTAAGCATCTGACTCTTGATCTTGGCTCAGGTCATGATCTCATGGTTTCATGAGTTTGAGTCCTACATCAGCTTTGTGCTGACAGCATGGAGCCTGCCTAGGATTCTCTCTCCTCTCTCTCTGCCCCTCCCCCACTCATGCTGTGCCCCCTGCCAAAATAAATAAATGTTAAGAAATTAAAAAAAAATCAACTATGAGATTTTTAAATATACTTTTTAGTTTATATACTTACATTTTGAGAGACAGAGAGAGGGAGAGCGCGAGCAAGCAAGTGAGCACAGGGGGAGAGGCAGAGAGAGAGAATCCCAATCAGGCTCTGCACTGGCAGTGCAGAGCCAGACACGGGGCTCAAATCCATGAACTATGAGATCATAACCTGAGCTGACACCAAGTCTGACACTAAACTTACTGAGCCACCCAGGCGCCCCAATGGACCATGAGACTTTAAAGACATTTTCCCCAGAGGGGTGTCGGGGCAGGGCCCAATCCTGGGGAGGGGTGGGCACCAGACTGGGAGGGCCTAGGGCAGGCAGGGAAGCACCACACTTGTGGGGTCTCAGCTTACCCTTGCTCTCCTCTCTGGCCAGTGTCATCACAGCTTCTATTCACCTGGCAAGGGTCCCACACTGTCCATTAGGTCAACCCCTCACAATCCCCACCCAGACCCCCACCGCTGGTTTGGCAGTCCTTGGTGGAGGCTGCTTCTCGGTATGCCCAACCACCTGTGGAGTTGACTTAGCAAGAAGACAGGAATGAGCATGCAGTGCAGAGCCAACCTCACCTGTCCCGGGCAGGAGTGAAGGTGGTGAACCTGGGGAAAGCCTGCCCTCACCTGGACACTCCAGGAGTGACCACAGGTGGGTGGACTGCTGAGTGGATAGAGGGACGGAAGGACAGGAGGCTGGACAGAAGGAGAAATGCATGAATGAGTGAACAAATGTGTGGATAGGAGGGTGAGTGGGTGGTTGTGTAAGAGGATGGCAGTGGATGGAGAGGGCTGGTTGTGTGAAAGGATGGCACTGGATGGAAAGATGGCTGGACAGTCAGATAGGCAGGTGAATGGGTACAAGGTCATCGGGGGGTTGATAGTCAGATGGGTGGATGAATGGGTACAAGGGGTGGGTGGGTAGAGTCAGATGGGTGGATGAATGGGTAGGCAGGTGGGTAAGAACAAGGCTCTGAAACACTACTGGGTAGAGGGAGCCTGGACCCTGAACACTCTGGGACACGACTGTGGCTAGCACTTGCTCCATCAGGAAAGCAAAGGCACGATTAGAGGAACTACGGGGAGATGCTGATCATTCCCCGGAAACCTAAACCCACATTTGATGTCTTCCTGCTGACCCAGACATTCCTCCTCATAAGGAGTCCAGCCAAACCCTGCTCCAGAAAATCAAATTATGGGGCCTGAGTCCAATCTGGGTTGAGGAATTAGAGGAATTTCCTAAGGGTCAGGACGCAGGGGGAGGCAGGCAGGAGGCCTGGGCGCCAGTCCCGACCCCTTGCCGGCCATCTGTCGGCACACTGCCAGCTGTCCCCCAAGAGGGGAGAGAGGGGACTGGCCACTGGTTGAACCTCATTCTGCCCCACTTGCCCCCCCTCCCAGATAGGGAGGAAATGGTGCAAGCAGAAGCAGAATCCAGGCCTGGTAGTGTCAAAGCCCCTTTGCCTGGGAGGGCATCATTTCCCCTACCCTCAACACTGCCAGCATGGAGACTTGCTCCCAACACTGCTGGCCAGGCCTCATGGGGAGCCCATTTTTACCCTGTCACCCCTACTGTGGTCAGATGGTACCCACAGCTGCGGGGATAGCTTCTGGCCAGCACACAAGGATGGGCACTGAGCCAAGGCTGGAGCCTGGGCCGTGGGATTCACACAGGGCGGAGTCCATGTCTGCCTGTCCCACCCAGGACTACAGTGTTGCTCCCAAGTCAGTGTAGGGCCTGGGCTGTCTGGGCAGGAGGAGGGTATTCTTAACCTCAAAGCAGTGGAAGAAACTGCCAAGGAAAGACAAACCAGCTTGACTTTGTGAAAACGAACCATTACTGTACATCCCCCCTTCCCCCCAAAAAAGGGCCACGTATTGTGGTTATGGTTTTTTGGTTTTGGTTTTTAAAGTTGACACCATTTACAGTAACATATGCAGTGAGCATTTCAGACAAAAGACAGATGATAACTTGCTTCTAGACCTTGACTTCATCACAGTGGAAGCTGGTGAGGGGCACGTGGGGACATGTCACACTAGCCCCTCTATCTCTGTGCATTTACAACCTTCCATAACAGAAAGTGGGAGAAAAAATATAAAGAC